GCTGGGAGGCACACTCTCCTTGACTTCTCCCACTCATGCGTCCGGTACTCCTGCTCCTGCTCCTGCTCCTGTTCCTGCGCCTGCTCCTCCGCCACCTCCGACTCCTCCTCCTCCTCCTCTTCCTCCTCCTTCTCCTCATCCTCCTCCTCCTCCTCCTCCTCCTCGTTCTCCTCCTCCTCCTCCGCATCCCTCCTCCTCCTCCTCCTCCTCGTCCTCTTCCTCCTCCTCCTCCTCCTCCTCCTCCTCCTCCTCCTCCTCCTCCTCTTCCTACTCTTCCTCCTCCTCCCACCCTCCTTATACGTACTCTTATTCTTACTGCCACTATTATTATGATTTGTATTGTTTCACTTGTCCGTCTAAAGATTACGATTCTCATTATTAGTAGTATTATTACTACTATTAGTATTAGTAGTAGTAGTAGTAGTAGTAGTAGTAGTAGTAGTAGTAGTAGTAGTAGTAGTAGTGGCAGTAGTAATAGTATTTGTTTTAGTATTAGTAATATTATTATTACTATTGATATTATTAGTAGTATTATTACTGTTACCCTTCGTCTTCTGCCTCATGTTATTACTCCTGGTACTACTATAAGTGTTTTTTATTTTTCTCAGCGTTCGTATAACTATTACTACTACTACTACTACTACTACTACTACTACTACTACTACTACTACGACGACGACAACAATTATTATTACTACTACTACTACTACTATACTTATTATTAGTACTGCTGTTATTAGTATGATTAGCATTGTCATCATTAGTGGTTGTATTCTTTTCGTACTAGTATGATTATTCTTACTAATTTCGGATTGGCAGTATCACCAGTTTATGCGTAATATTATTCCTTCGTGGCAGTAGTAATATTAGTATTAGTATTACTCCTAGTGTGACTAACGCTATTATTAGGAGTATGATTAATAATCTTACGATTCTTATCATTATCAATATGGGTGTTATTCCTAGTAGTAATATGATTGGTACGGTTCTCATTATTAGCATTAGTGCTAATATCTAAATTAGTAGTATGGGTATTATCACCTTTTGTATTATTTGATATTTGTCTGCTTCTTGTCAACGTCATTATTCGAATTATTTGTCATATTAGTATGTGTCGTATTATGCGCTTTATTCGTACTATCGTTCTTGTAAGTATTACGATTAGTTTTGAGGTGAGACTTCTTACGAATAGTGCCCATGTTTTGATCGTCAATAATATTCTTACTCATAATATGGATATCATCCTTATTATGTGTAATACTCTTATTCTTCGTATGTCGTTATAGTAGTCTTCATATTGCTCACATTACTATATGTATTCTTCTTCGTCTTCTCATTATCCTTATTATTACTACACATCCTCCTCATTTTCCTCCTCCTCCTCCTCATCTTCCGCCTCCGCTTCCGCCTCCGCCTCCGCCTCCTCCGCCTCCGCGTCATCCTCCTCCTCCTCCTCTTCGTTTTCCTCTTCCTCCTCCTCCTTTTCCTCGTCCTCCTCCTCCTCCTCCTCGTCCTCCTCCTCCGCCTCCGCCTGCGCCTGCGGTTCCGTCTCCTCCTCCTCCTCCTCCTCATCCTCCTCCTCATCCTCCTCCTCCTCCCCCTCCTCCTCTTCTTTGTATTATGTTAACAGTTCGCATTATCATCCTTGTTTGTCTTATTCTTCTCATTACTATTATTCTTCATGTTCTTGTTATTGCTACCCTTCTGAATATTATTGGCAGGAGTAATAGTAGTAGCAGCGCTATTAGTATTATTATTATGATTAGCATGTTTCGTCTTATTAGTATTCATACCACTGTTATTGTGATTAGTATTCGTGTTAATCGTAGTATAACGCTTCTTCGTATTATCATTATTATTCGTAGTGTGGGTAGTCTTCTTATTGTTAGATGCCGTATTAGCATCCCCCTTCTTATGTATAGTACCATTAGTTCTGAATGTTATTATTGGTATAGTAGTTTCTTGTTATTGCCACTGCTATCCTTACAAGTATTCCTGCTATTGGTGGTAGCATTCGTATTATGATTGGTCTTAGTATGTTTAGTATTAGCGTTAGTCTGTTTAGTATTGTTAACCGTCTCTTTCATAACGTTACTATTATCAGTGTTCTTACGTGTGTCATTATAATTATTCTTAGTATTAATACTATTGATATTACGTTTGTGATGTTTTCTTCATAATATCCTTATTATTTTCCGTATTCGTATTAGTTGATGCCATTCCTGTTATTATTACTATGAATCGTATCCCCGATATTATTCTTATGATTCGGACTCTTCTGAATACCATCATTACCCCTAATACTATTACGTGTATTCGTATGAATGTTAGTATTATCGTTCGTATCGTAATTAATACCAGTAGTACTAGTATTACTAGTTTCCTTATTATTACCATGGTTCGTATTACCCTTGCCATCATGTTTCTTATTCGTGGTATTAGTACCCGCGTTATTCATGTTATTATTAGTGTTCTTAGCGTTATTATTCTCAGTGTTGGTTTCATTAATTTTCTTGTTAGTCATTACTGCGACTTTCATCATTAGAATCCCTCTTGTTCTCATTGTTATTACTTGTATTACTACGCTTACTAAGAATAGGATTACTATTGTTATTCGTATTCATATGATCATTTGTTACGATTAGTCTTCGCAAGCTGTTCTAATCTTATTATGATTATGCTTTTCTTCCTTATTAGTATTAAGACCATTATATTGTTTTGTCGTATTATAACTCTTACTATTATCAGCATTATTCCTAATATTCGTATGACTTTCTCGTAATAGGATTATTCGTGCTATTATTCTTCTTATGATTATTCGTATTCCCCTTTTTCATAGTTTCCTAATTGTTCGTCCTCCTCCTCTTCCTCCTCCTCCTTTTCTGTTTCCTCCTCCTCCTCCCCCTGTCCATTCACTTTTGTCTGAAGACGAATGTGCTCGGTAATTCGCCGGCCCAACGGGCCAGGGCGTGCTAAGATCTCCGGTACCTGGTTAACAGTATTTCTAGTTCGCGCGCGCGGGGCGGCCCCTGGGGGTCCCCGGACGAAAAGTACCCCGGCAAGGTCCCGGCAAGGTCGGGCCAGAGATGCTGGAGCCCTGTTACAGGGCCCCAGGACGGGCCAAGAGGTCCCCAAGAAGCCTCCAAGACGGTCCAAGAGGGCCCCGAGACGGCCAAAGATCGCCCGAAGACGCCCAACAGGCCCCAAGACAGCCCAAGAGGCCTCCAAGACGCCCCAAGGGCCTTCCAAGAGGCCTCCGAAGAGGGCCCCAAGAGGCCAAAATCGTTGATTTTCATTGTTTTTTTCTATGTTTTTTGCGTTCTGGCTTTTTCGGCTTCCGGACGCTCCAAGACGGCCCAAGAGGCCCCCAAGACCGCTCCAAGACGGCCCACGAGGCTCCCAAGACGGCCCCGGAACGGCCCAGGAGGGCCCCCAAGACGGCCCAAGTGCCGCCCAAGACGGACCAAGAGGCCCCAAGACGGGCCCAAGAGGGGCTCAAGAGGGGAGCCGAGAACTGAAAAATCGAGCCCTCCGCCCCAGAAGGCGCCCAGGAGGCCCCAAAAAGGCCCCAAGAGGCCCCCAAGAGGCCCCCAAGACGCCCCAAGAGGCGCCCAGGAGGCCCAAAAGAGGCCCCAAGAGGCCCCAAAACGGCCCCCAAGAGGCCCCAAAACTCGGCTAGCCCACAACGGTGCGACAATATGGGCCGGCGGAATGAGCGAAGCGATTAAATAAAACGAGAAATGCAGGCTGATATTCGCCCGCCTTCAATCCTTGAACGTGTTGTTGGTTTGCAATTTCACGGTCGATGGGAACTCTCTAGCGAAACGTCCGGCCCGCCCCCACAGGCACGTTTGAGGGAGGGACATTGATGAGAGATTACGTAATAAGGAAAACGGATGGAGGCACCAGAAAAGGAGAAAAGGCGGCTCGAGGATAGGATCGAATATTAGTTCCTTGTTGCGTTAATTGCCCCGTGGGGGACTCGGGGGGGCCCTCGCCATCGGGTCGCGACGCACCCCTTGAGAGGCCCAGGGGTTCTCGAAAGGGCAGGTTCAGACTGCTGAAAGACATGGCCCTGGCCCAGGGCGGCCGCAATTGTTCCACGGATGCCCACATGGCCACAACGCCACAACTCCCCCCACGAGGCCAAATTGCTCTGGGGGGAGGCGGGAAGGGCAAAACAGCGCGACAGACAAGCTGGGGCCACCATGGGCCAGGACCACCTTTGGCAACCTCGGAAGGAAGAGGAGCAAGCACTAAGCGTCTGGGCGGTCGCCAATCGGTCGGCGCGTCGCACTGCGACAAAGAGTGAAGCGCTCGGCCAAGGCTTGGCGCGGCGGTGCCCCGAACTGACAGAGCACCTGTGCACCCGCCTGCGCACCCAGCCTCGCCGAATGCCCAGCGCAAGAGCCCCAATCCGACAGGCCCCAAAGGAGCGACGAGCGGACAAAAGCCGCACCGCTGGCGCCCTCGTTGATCGAAGCCCACCCAGCCAACCCAGCGCGCCTGGCGCCCCACCCAACCCACGCGGCGCGCACGCCCCTTCCTGGCCACGGCTAGCCTCGGCCCCTACCAGTGCCAGCTTGCGTTTAACAGCAACTTGGGGTTCGCGTGATTCACAAAATGCTTCCTCTGTTTGAATCGGGGGGGCGCCCGCCAAATTGAAACACACGGCGGCGACGCCGGTAATTAGCGCCGACGCCTGGCCGACTGCAGGAGGGCGACGGGCCTGACGCAAGCAGCGCCGCTTCAGCAGAGGGGGACAGCGGCGCCTCCGATATAGCGGGGCGGTTGGGCCAAAATGGCTGCAAACACGAGAGAAAGAGGAGGCGGGGGAAAGAGGCGCCTCAGCGGGCGGGCGGCGCCAACATGGCTACAAACAAGAAGGGGAAGAGAGGGGAGGAGCGGAAGAGAAAGGCGGAAAGGACTCCTCCTTCTCTTTCTACCTCCCTCCCCCTTTTCCACTACCACGCCCGACGACGACGACGACGACGACGACGACGACGACGACGACGACGACGACGACGACGGACGACGGACGACAACGACGATGGACAACGGCGACGACGACGACAACGACGAACGACGACGACGACGACGACGACGACGACGACGACGACGACGACGTCGACGACGACGACGACGACGACGAAAACGACGAAAACGACGAAGACGACGACGCGACGACGACGACGACGACGACGACGACGACGACGACGCGACGACGACGACGACGACGACGACGACGACGACGACGACGACGACGACGACGACGACGACGACGGCGACGACGACGACGACGACGACGGCGATGGCGACGGCGATTGCGACGGCGACGGCGACGGCGGATGACGACACACTGCGGATGCTCCATGGGGGGGATGCTGCGCATGCCCTCTGTGCCATCGAAACGACGCCGACGACGACGACGACGACGACGACGGCGACGACGATCTCGACGACGCACTGCGGATGCCCTAGCTGCAGCTGGCGACGACGACGACGACGACGACGACGACGACGCGACGACGACGACGACGACGACGACGACGACGACGACGACGACGACGACGACGACGCGACGACGACGACGACACGGCGACGGGGATGGCGACAATCGCGACGGCGACGGCGACGGCGACGGCGGACGACGACGCACTGCGGATACTCTGTCGGGGGCGCGGGGGTGCTGTACATGCCCAGTGTTGTCGTCGACGACGACGACGAAGACGAGAACACAGATGACGACGAGGACGAGGACGACAACGACGGCGACGAAGACGAAGACGACGACGCACTGCGGATGCCCTCTTTGGGTGGGCGGGGGGTGCTGCGCAGGCTCGCTGCAGTCGACGACGACGGACGACGGACGACGGACGAGGGACGACGGCAACGACGACGACGACGACGACGACGACGACGACGCGACGACGACAGCGGCGACGACGACGCACTGCGGATGCCCTATGAGGGGGGAAGGGTGCTGCGTAGGCCGCTGCTGTACTCGACGACGACGGCGACGAAGACAAACATTCGCCGGATGTATACGATCCATATAACAACTGCTATACGGAGGGCAATGGTTTTGAGGCTACCGTGCAGGGGGTATGAACGATCCACTCAACGGCGCCCGCGACGACCCCTGTCGCGCGCGATTAAAAAATGTTTCGCGCCCCGCGGGGTCTATTCATCAGCCCCGAGGGGGGGCCTCACTCGTGAACTACAAGCTGACATTAGTCTCCCCGACCTTGATCCACGGAACGGCCCGAAAACTCAAGACGCTCTTGAGCCCAGAGTGGTCCTCATTCAACCTTCTAGACTGCACCAAGGGAAACCCGGCTCCATTGCAGCTGAGAGGGCAAGACTGCGGAGCAGAAACACAAAGAGAGATAGAGAGAGAGAGAGAGAGAGCGAACCGCATGTGAGTGAGAGCCAGAAAACACGACCGCGGACGGACAGAGGAGGAAGAGGAAGGAAACTGGCATGAAGGAGACGGGTCCTGCGGGCTGCGGGAAACGGGCCCTGGGTGGGACGCAGACTGTAGTGGCATGCGACCCCCTCGCAGACGCACGTCCAAGCCGAACGCTCAGTGCGAACATAGGAGAGAGCGCGTTTCATAGGCGCTTGCCTTGGGAACATTCGGCGGCGCGTTTCGAACTGGGGGGTGGCCCCCCTCCCCCCCAACACTCGGCGCCGTCGATCAAAACCAGGGGGACTCCCCTCCCCCCCAACCCCCCCCTCCCGAACCCCCCCCCCTCCCCATCCCAAGCGCACACCAACACGGATTGCGGGCCCTTGGACCTGGCGCGCGGGCGCCAGATGCCTCGAATCGAGGAGAAGACCCCTCGAAATAGCAGGGCAGCGCCGCCTCTTCTGGCGACGGAGCGCGACGACTTCGCAGGGAAGCGGGATCCTTTTGCTCCTGCCGTGCGCCTCCTGCACGCGCCTCTCTCAGCCCTGCGGGGGCCCCCGCGCAGCACCCGAACCGGGGGAGTCCCAGCACGGCGCGGCGACGGGCCGCGCGGTGACCTCGAAATCCCCAAAGAGTTCTCCGCACGCCAGCCTCGCACCGCGCTGAGACCCTGGAGGCCCCCTGTCGCCCGAGTCCTCCAGCTCCACCATTCCCACTGACTCACCACACGGCGTGGGCACCGCATCGCTTGAGGGCGGCCAAGATTTCTCTGGCGCTTTGCTGCTCTTCTTTACACTGGTTGCAGCTGCAATATAGTGCAATGTGCTTTCCGGCCACGCGCCCATGGGCGTATGGCTTCTTGACTTGACTTGACTTTGGGCCACTTGGCGCGCCTTGATCCATGTTTGCGCTTGCTCGATCCTGAGGGGCCCTTGTAGAGGAGCTCAAAACAGCATCAGCATAAGCTTCATGGAGATCCACCAAGTGAATTATGTCTGTGCCATGCTTGCTATCCTTCGACCTTGGGCAGGGAAGACCCCTGGGCAAAGCCGAAAACGAGGGGGCGGGTTGATCCACACCTGGGTCAGTGGTCAGTCAGGCCCTGCCTGCAGGATCCTGCGGGGGGGCAGGGGGGGGGTCTGGCTCTGGACCTCTGCTGAGTGCGACTGTCTGGGACCGTGCGTCCTCTGGGGGAGACCCCCATGCTCGGAACAGGCGCCAAAAACAGCCAAGAGCTACTCGCGAGGGCCTGCGCCTGCGCCGATCGGCAAAAGGATGACTCAAAAACGCTCACCTTGTTGACCCCCGTTTGCATTGACCCCGTCTCAAGGCTCCCGACACACACGAAGGGGGCTGTCTTCCGGGGCATAGCTCGGGCCTCCGGCTGGCCATGCAGACGCTCGGGCCTCCGGCCTGCTGAGCGCTCTCCTGTGCCTTCGGGGAAGGCACAGGCCGACTTGGCCATGACGCCAACGTGGAGTGAGCTGGAGCACAGGTTTGCACGTTCTAAGAATAGCTGCTGGCCATCTGTCTCTCCATCCTGTAGTCTATCGCATGCTTGTGGGCGCTCCGGCCCCGACCCGCTTAGTCCCCTCGCGCGGACACTCGTGCAAGCACCGTTCACCGTTCACCGTTCGGGAAAAGCAAAGAGAACTTCTCAGAAGGCCAGGAAACTTCCAAGCTTCTTGAGACAGAAGGAGAAAAAACGGCAGAAACATTGACTTTTGGCGCTCCGCGCGGATTTCTTCGATCCGCGCTGGACCCCCCTCCCTGGAGCGCAGAGCGCGCCAAGGGCGGCGCTGGAGGCGCCGCCAGGGGGGGGGCCAGCGCAAATCCAAGAAATCAGCGCGGTTATGTTTACAGCATTATTCCCTTCGATGAGAAGGCCCGCCCCTTCTCACTTCGCCCCTGGGTCTCTGGCCGGCCGTTCCGACGTTCGAGCAGGCTCGAGGAGGAGGAGGAGACAGGACGGAGAGGCCGCGGACACCCGCCCTAGGCTCGGGGAGGAGGAGGTGCGGAGGAAGAGTCCCCTGGTGCGTGGGCGCACTGCTTGGCGCTTCGTGGCGTCGCTTGGCACTGCCTGGCATTGCCTAACATTGCTTGGCTTAGATCGGGCCTGTCCTCCTACAGGGGGATTTTGGACGAAACATAAAAAATAATCAAGAACACCCCAAAATTGTTTTAAAAAAATGCTTAAAAAAAGGTCCTCGACTATTCTTTGACTATTTTTGAATCTATCTCCAGTAGAGGGCCAGGCCCGACTTAATGCTTGGCGTCACATGGCACTTCCTCGTCCGGCCGCCCGTTCAGACGTTCGGGCCTCCTGCCGGAGCCGCTGCCCCTCAGCCTCCAGCGCGCCCAGCTGCACCCTCAGCGCTTCCTCCTCCGCCCACAGGGCCTGCGGCGGTCGCCAGCCCGCAGCCGCCGTCGCCGCCCACCACCGCCGCCGCCGCAGCCCGTCGCTCCAAACCTCCAACGCACAGTCAGCACTGACTGGAAGGATGCGCGATGAGGATGCAAGGGCCTTGGACGCCCATGTCGAAGCGCTTCAAGCGGGGCTCGGCGTCGAGAGTGGTTAAGGATGGACCGAAGAGACAAGGGTGCAAGGGTGCCCTTGGGAAGGTTGCCCATCCGAATCAACAGTTTCGTCGCGTCCCCCGTCGTCCCAGACCTCCAACGCATTGAAACAATCAAGACAGCTGTGTTGCCCCATCTCCGGCCTCTGGGGCCCTTCGCCAGGCCCTGAGGACCGTCAAGAGACAATTCGTACGAAAGGCCAGCCCCGGGGAACGGGATCGGGACTCCTTGGGGACCGCACATGAACAAAATCACACAATCGGGGGGGGTCCGGGCTGGGCGTCTAAGCAGCAGCTGCGGTCAAACCAGAGCCCCCCTGCTCTGCGCCACCTCCGCCGCCGCCTCCACCCCCTCCTGCGCCCTTTTCATCCGCATCCCCGTCCTCCGCCTCGCTCCTCCTCGTCTTCCCTACTGCCAACTGGCTTCGCGCATCGCGCCCTCGCGCCGCCGCCCTGGAGAAGAGCGAACTCGCGGGTCAGACCGCGACGCGCGCCGCGCACTGATATGAGCGTCCCCGCGGGTGACCTAGTTTCTTCTCAGTATTCCTGATCATTCTGCGCATGCCCCCCCTCTCATCATCCCTCGTCCACCTCGCTCAAAACATCCACCCCTTTTCCCCGCTGCTTCATCCTCCTCGTCGTATTTTCCCTCCTGCACCACTATCGTCAACAACAACATCGCCATCATCATCGTCATCACGCACCGTCACCATCATCATCATCATTATCATCATCATCATCATCATCATCATCATCATCATCATCATCATCATCATCATCATCATCATCATCATCATCATCATCAGCATCAGCATCAGCATCAGCATCAGCATCATCATCATCATCATCACCACCACCACCATCATCATCATCATCATCATCACCACCACCACCCACCACCACCACCATCATCAGCAGCAGCAGCAGCAGCAGCAGCAGCAGCAGCAGCAGCAGCATCATCATCATCATCATCATCATCATCATCATCATCATCATCATCATCATCATCATCATCATCATCATTATCATCATCATCATCATCGCCATCACCACCATAACCGCGGACTCCATAACCATCATCAGGAGCAGCATCATCATCACAATCACTACCACTATCACTATCGCCATCACCATCGTCAGCATCACCATCATCATCATGAGCAGCATCATCGTCAGCATCATCATCAGCATCAGCACCATCATCACCATCAACCTCATCATCAGCATCGGCATCATAATCAGCATCATCATCACCATCGATAGTGTTTTCCTCCTCCTCCTGGTTCCTCCTCCTCCACCCCACTCCTCGCTCCCCATCACTCATTTCGGATTAGTATCCTCCCCCTCCGTTTCACCCATTGTCCACCAAATCCTCGTCTTCCCTCCCCCTTCTCCTCACTCGATATTCTTTACTCCGCGATACCCACTCCCCGATCGACATTGCTCACTCCATACTCCCCATCCCACACTGCTCACAACTCGCTCATCACTTTTCACTCTTCCCGCCTTTCGCCTCACTCCCCCTCTGCGTCCTCCGCTTTCCTCTCACGCAGCACTATCCTCGTCCACCTCCTCCTCCTCCTCCTCCTCCTCCTCCTCCTCCTCCTCCTCCTCCTCCTTTCTCCTACTCCTCCTCCTCCTCGTCCTCCTCCTCCTCCTCCTCCTCCTCCTCCTCCTTCTCCTCCTCCTCCTCCTTCTCCTCCTCCCTCCATCCTTCCTCCCCCCCTCCCTCCCTCCCCCCTTCCCCCCCTCCCTCCCTCCCGCCAAGAGGCCCGGGGGCACCCCAGTGGGCCCCCAACCCCGTCACCAAGGGGGAACCCCGGGCGTTGGGACTCTGGCCCCGGGTCCCTAGACATGCAAAGCGAGAGATAATTAACTGAAGCATGCTGGGAGAAAGGCACGCAGTGGCGGCGTGGCAAGGGTGGCAAACGGGGGGGAGAGAGGGAGAGGAAGAAGAACAGGGGGGCTTGGCGGGGGGCGGTCGTGGATAACGTCCTGGTGGCCGTGGATGGCGGCGTGGTGGTGAAATCGCAGTGGTCGGAGTGGCGGCGGTGGCCGCCGGCGCTGTGGCAGTCGCGGCGATTGTCGCGGCGATGCCGTCGTCGAACTGCTGGGCCCCAGTCGGTAGAAGTGGCGGTGGTTGCGGCGGTCGGCGTCAGCGGTCGGGGGGGGTGAAAATGGCGATCGTGGTCGGCGTGTTAGTGACCGTGGTGGCAATCGCGGTAGTGGGAAGGGCGGTAGTCGTGCTGGCAGTGGTGCTACTGTTGCTGGCGGTTGTCGTGCTGGGGCTGCTTGTGGAGGGAGCCGCGGAAGCAGCCAGCTACCCCTTACCGCTCCAGGGCGCTCAGGATCATCTCCGCGCTCCCATGTTGGAGGGCGCGTGAGATGCCCTGCCAGATCCGACTCAGGAGAACAGAGCGGTCGGCGTCATTGCGAGAGGCACCGTCGCTGCGAACGAAGCCCACTGCTTCGTCGGACGGCCGCCCCCTTGTCTCGAAGACCATCGGGACTAGATCGAGGCCCTCCTGGGGGGGTTACCGGTCGCCTTTGTCCTGAACCATCTGAGCTGCTGCGAGCCCATCTCGTTCCGCTCGGGCATGCCTGCGTGGGGCGCAGGTAAGAGCGAACACAGGTCACCGCCCAACCGACGAAGAAGAGCCAGCAAATGCCAGCGTCGTGCGTCTGGATGTCCAACTTTGCTTCCTAAAAAACCCAAGTCCGGGGATCACGGAGGCCCCGCGCCGGCACCCGCCGTTCCGCTGGCGCAGAAGACCCGCGGCATCCTGATGCATAGCTGCAGGTCGGTCGCGGAGGCGGTCGTGCCAGGCAACGCGGGATTGGCCCACCTCGCATGACTTGGCATGGAACCCGCGCGGGTCGAGGGCCTCTCCGCACAGCGCGCCGTCTCGACGTCAGCGGGGCAAACCGGCGCACGGAGCGGGCACGTGAGGCTCACCTCGAACGGATCGCGCGGCTGCACAGGGCCCCCCGGTTGCCGCGGCCGGAGGAACGCCACTGCGCCCACGCCGCCGCGCTCCCGGAGCGCCAGGCGGCCGTTTTCTGGAAGCTCCCGCAGCAACCGTTCTCTGCTACGCCCGGAGACCACCATGCCCCACACGCCCTGGAGCTTGGCGAAGAGCTCCTGGAGACTACGGGCCCAATCGACGGGCTGTCCGTCTGTCGCCCCCGAGGCTTGCAGCACCTGCCCGGCCTGGCCGAGCGTCTGCACTGTTGACGGACACCGCGTCTGGAACCCCTCCAGCGTGCTCGCGTCCAAGCACTTGGCCACGTCGTAGAGGCAGAGCGCCCAGCTCGGGGCGTAGGCTGCCGGCGCTGTCTGGGCGGCGGACGGGATGGCGCACCCGCCGCCGGCGAGGCGCATAATGGCTTGCAACCCATGGAGCTCGTCCAGTTGGCTCCCACGAAGTAGGTGTGCGAGGGCCGAGAACACCATCGCGTCGAGCTGTTCAACCCAGATGCTTTGCAAATTGGCTCGCAGGTGGTGGGCAACCCTGTGCGAAGGTTCTCAGCAGAGCGAGGTAGGCCTCGTCGGATATCCGGCCCCTCGCAGTTCTCGGAGTCGCCGAGTGAAGGTCTGCGCCAGCTGCACTGCCGCCGCTCTGTCTGCCCCTGCGTGCACTACCACCCTGTTTCACTGCTGGTCTACCTCTCTCTTTCGCGGAGCCTAAGTCATGTTACTGACGGCAGATTGCTGACTATACTATGAACTGCGAGCACTGCTTCCTCTATGGCCAGGGCCTCAGCCGTAAATGAAAAGATCGGATCTTAGATATAAGTCCCAGCCAACATCACCAGCACCGACGTCATGTAGGATCCGCAATGCGCCACGGCCTCGGTGCACCAGGCCGCAGAGGAGCACTTGCCGGCCCGTGCGCCACCATCCATAGGCACTATCAAATTGGAATTGGCGAGACCAGTTTCCGGCAGCGGGCAACGCTGGAACCGCGATTTTTGCTCTTCCATTGCGTAATTCAGGAGGTGATCGGCGCGCACGTTCCATGCCCGATTGCGCCAGAAGACAATGTCGCCCACATCACGCGCGGGGCGCCCCCCCCCCCCCCCCCCCCCTGCAAGATTCACGCGATGCGCTGGAATACAGGATCCATGGCGGGTTTGGTCTAAATGGTTGTGCCGTTGACCACTCCAGCAAGGGGCTGGCAATCCGCGACGAAGACGACTCGTCGCACCATGCTGCCCCATTGCATGTCCAGAGCAGCATTCCCGTGATGCGCAGGGAGACGTTCTAAGGGGTGTGTAGAAGCCCTCCTGCGTTTGGGTCGAGGTGGGCGAACGTCGGCCGACTGCGAGCCCGCGTCGGAACACATGCGGAATAGCCCCAAAGACTTGCAGAGGTGCGACTCGAGAAGAAGAAATTTAGATACCTATTCGGCTTCAATGCGGCATTGGCCACGACGCTGCCCCCTCCAGTCGAGGCCGAAAAACCGCCACGAAGGCATCCTCCCATTCGACCAAGTGCCCCATGCTGGCGTGCACGAGGCCCTCCTTCTTCCTCTTACTCTCGCTGCCCATCAGTTGCAGCGAGCCCCACCACGTCCGAGCGCAGCACTGCCTCGCTAGATGTAGGAGGTTCTTGCCGCCAACCGGAGGTGAATGATTCTCTCGCCACGCACTCTTGAATACCTCAAAAAGGACACGGCTGTGGAGCGGCTCTGTTTGGGACAGCGTAAAATCATGTTCCAATGTGCGCGCCGTGCGTTCCATGAACTGCCCATGCCCTTCGCCCAGGTTCTGCCCGAACTTGGATATGCGCCTCAACAGGTTGAATTCCCATCGCTTTACTTTCAGAAAGCCTTATTGGAACAATTGCCATGACGACGAACCGAATGAAGCACTGGCTGAAAGCCCTCTGGACCAAGCTTTGAATTTCTTTGTCGCGCTGCCAAAGCCCTTCAAAGCCATCACGTAGGTCCAAAAGCTCTGTTCCGCTTTGCCGCTGTGCCGAGCCGGCGGTCGATGCTCGACGTCGCGCCCCCCGCGCAACTCAAAACAAGGCCCAGAACAACCATGCTCTCCACTACCTGGAACGCGCGGGCGCTGTCACTCATCACAGCGGCCGGCTCAAGCTCAGACGCTAAAGGACCACAAAGCATGAGTTCGACGGGAGGAACGTTCCCACTGGAACTTCATGTCCGAGAATGCCGTTGTCACATCTTGCGCCATAGTTACCATAGTTCGGAACTCGCCCAAGCCGAACGCGAGAATGAATATGTTGTCGGCCCAAATTATATGGTTGGCGCGGGAGCCGTCGCCGTCTAAAGCAAAGCCGTAGCTGGATAAATCCCATTTCTTCAATGCGTCACCAAGCGCAATCTCCAGCATGATATTGAATTCCCCCGGGGTTTCGAAGCCGCCCTGTTTCCCGCTCCTCTCAAAATCAAAACGTTCAGAAGGCCGAGCTCCAGGAAGCGACAGATTGCACGTCATGCCAGAAACCTCCCGCATCAAAGCTGAGACCAATGATGGATGAACGCCCCGGGCCTGCAGGGAGGACATCAACGCCTCATGGCGCATCGAATCGAACGCAGTCTCGACGTCGCTGCTGCCGACAACAAGGTTCTTGCCCCATCGACTCGCCACGAAGATGCACTGGCGGATAACGCAAATGATGTCATTACAAGATTGTCCTTGTTGGATGCCGACTGTGGTCACAAGAGAGGGACTAAGCGAAGGCCTGATGTAAGGTTGAAGGCATCACAAGTACCACTTCGAGCACACATCAAGCTTTCCAACCCATCTGAACTCGGATAGTTGCTTCGGTTGTGTCATTTTGGGGATGCCCGCGAAATCAATGTTCTTCCAGCTAGCCAGATCCAGCGACGAGGGGTCAGAGAAACGCTCTTGGAAACAATGCCAGATGTCAAAGACAGATATCAGCGGCAAGGCCTTGTAGATTTCGGGCACGGCGCCAACGCTGCCAGCAGCTTTGCCCACTTTGAGTATCGCCCTCCCCCCAAGTACGTCCTAAAAAGAAATGACAAGATCACGGCGACCATCCATGCGTCCGTTTTTTTGCTATGCTGTCCAAAACCTCCACGCGCGCGGACTGCGTCTCGAACGGGTAGTCCACGTCGCCAAACCGCTGGCCTGCCGAATTCTAATGCGGCCACGCGCCATATCTCCCTATCAGCGGCACGGGCACCGTTGATCACGAGCGTGGACGGCGTCCGGGTCGCATCGTCAACAACAGAGACGCCAAGTAAACGGAGCTCATTGCGCGCACGCCGAGCTTTCCGGATCGTTCTGCGCAGTGCCTGGACAGCGGCCCGTCGATCCTGAGCGTCAGCCGTGGCGACTTTCCCCCTGGCCAACGTGATGGGGTTGTTGACCGCGCGCTGGTGTAATCTCAACCGGGCCCGATAAGTCTGGAAACGAATGCCGGTGGCAGCGCGCAGAATAGCAGGTTAAAGAATGTCCAACTGCGCGCCCGAATAGTCGATGCACGACCGCCGGAAGTGATCAAGATCATCGGGAGAAGACGGCGTCCAACCCTTCAGTGAAGTGGGGCCTGCGACGTCGTCCATCATCATACCGTAGAAGATCAAGTTCGACAAGACGGGCCTATAATCAGAGAGCTTGAAAAGTTTATGTTTCATCTTTTGAGCCCACGCCCCACCCCCAATCCCAGCAGATACACCTATGAATTCGATGCGGGATTTGATGGTCCAGTGGGACGCCGGCATGTTGGTCCAGAGCTTCTTTCTTGAAAGTTCCCCGTCAACCTCCACGTGCGCATTTCGGAATGTATTGAACAGCCGAACCCCCAAGGACTCCATCCATGAAGCAACTGCGAAAACCTTTGCCTGAGAATGGTTGTGGCGGTCCTCCAAGACAGCCTCCCCGGTCAGAGACGCGTGAGATCCAGGTATCTGAACATTCGCGTCCACCCCAAAAACTATATCGAACTCCACGGAAGAGTTAGCTGGGCGGATATGTTGTACATATTGCGAGGTTTCCTCAAACACCCGCTGAGCCCTCCCATCATCTAGAAGATGGTCTAAAATATGAGCTGAAAGGTAGATGACGCTAGATACCACAGCACCACACCAATACTCGCCGAACCTAATCCCTGAGCGCTCGCATCCCGGATCTAGGAAAAATAAAAGCACAGTCAATATGTTCAGCTGAAAGTATCGTGTGGCCAAAGTATGTAAACTCGTGCAGGTCGCCCCAAGCAGGTACCTCTTGCAGTAGTGCCACGATGTCCCCAGTAAAGCATTTTCGAAAATCTTTACACAACTTCTTCGCGGCTGAAGCCCCTTTCCTGCAAGTGTTCCATGAGACGACGGTGAAACTTTGGCCACTCATGGCCGCGGGACCTCACGGAGATCGGAAGGCCCAGAGCTCGGCCTCGAAAGCCTCGACCCACATGCGGAAATTTGTCTGAATTGGTGCGGTCTCCCAGTTGACCCTGGCCGTGTCGTCCACCGCACCGAAGAACTGTTCCCCTGCTGGCGTCTTGACCGTGAGCCGGAACTCGGGTGGGCCCGAACGCTTCACGATCGACTCGGGTTCCACCGCCTTCGATTTCACCTCGAGGAACGCCCTGGCCTTACCACCTGCCTCAAACTTCTTTTGCTCCTGCGGTTCCTTCTGCACCGTGGTGAAGAGGTCCTTCCCCTTCCATTTGAGGTTGGGGTCATTGCGGAGCATCTCCCGGAAAAGGGTAGCAATCTCCGTGGAGTCGGGGGGGACGCAGTGGATCATGAACTTGTACACGCGTGAGCCCCGGAGCTCGATGTCGCTGACCTTGCACTGGATGTCCATCGGGAGGCCCGCCTTCATCTTAGAGACCATCTCCTGAGCACTGGGCCTATCGATGCCGTTCTCCTTACGTTCTTTCCACTCGCAGAAGCCGCGAATCTCAAAGAAGCTGGGGACAAATGCACCAGAGCCACCCGCCTTCTGGGCCTCTTCTAACTTGTTCAGGCGGCTGTCATGTGTCTCGAGAATTTCCTTGATCGTCGTAACGCTCGCATTAATAGGGGCCAAATTCTGCTCAAACTTCGTATCGAGAAGAGCGCCCATAGATTCGAGAGTCAAGGCCATCGCAACGACGTGTAAGGGGTATCAGTGACAATTCTGGTACAATACGGGCCCCTTCTTACACTCCTCCTCCTTGAGGTGCCGTGACTTGAGCCTCCTCCTTGAGGTGCCGTGCTGGTCTACCTCCCTCCCTCCCTCCTTCCTTCCCTCCTCCAACCCCTCCTCCTCCTCCTCCTCCTCCTCCTCCTCCTCCTCCTCCTTCTCCTCCACATCTTCTCTCTTACCTCCGCCCTCATCCTCTCTCCTTCAACCCTCCTCCTCCTCCTCCTCCTCCTCCTCCTCATCATCATCATCATCATCATCATCATCATCATCATCATCATCATCATCATCATCATCATCATCACCATCACCATCACCATCACCATCACCATCATCATCATCACCATCATCATCATCATCATCATCATCATCAGCATCATCATCATCATCATCATCATCATCATCATCATCATCATCAGTAGCATCATCATCAGCAGCAGCATCATCATAATCATCATCAGCAGCAGCAGCATAACCACCACCACCACCACCATCATGATCAGCATCAGCATCACCATCAGCAGCAGCAGCAGCATCAGCATCAACATCAGCATCATCATACTCGTCATCATCGTCATCATCATCATCATTATCACCAGCATCATAATCATCATCATCAGCAGCACCACCACCACAACCATCATATTAATCATCATCAGCATCATCAGCATCCTCGTCATCATCATCATCATCATCATCATCATCATCATCATCATCACCATCAGCACCCTCATCCTCATCTACATCGTCATCCTCATCATCTTAATCACCATCAGCATCACCAGTATCATCACTATCAGCAGCATCATCATCCATCATCGGCATCATCATCGCTAGCATCATTACCACCGTCATCACCATCATCATCATCACCACCACCATCGCAATCACCACCATCACGACCATCACCACCATCACTAACATCACTACCATCATCATCATCACCATCACCATCACCTTCACCTTCACCATCACCTTCACCATCACCATCACCATCACCACCACCACCGCCACCACCACCGTCGTAGCTATAGGGCGGAGGCGGGGCGGAGCGGAAGGGCGGCCTCCGCGGTGGCCGAGGCCTGCTGCTGGAGCCGCCGGCACTCCGCCTCGAGCCCGCTCAGCTGGCCCTTCAGGGCGTCCTCCATCGCCATGGCCTTGGGCCGGCGGCTAGGAGGATCTCAGCGCACCTCTGACGGGGACTCTACTGACGGGCAATTTGGCAAGCGACCTACCGAACGCAACCCTTGGGGCACTTTCAACCAATGTATGAAGCAAGATGCCAGGTACACCACACCTTGGCACCCCATCAGAACCCCCTATCTGGGAGGGAGCATAGGGGGTGACCGGCTCAGGGGGGGAAACATCGACCTTGACCAGGTGAACCGCCGATAGACCAGCGACAAGCAGCCAATAGTGAACCAGCACAGTCCTGGGCGGGGCGGGCTATCGGGCTCCTATCGGCGATCAAAACATAAACATACACTTTCGGAGCTCCGCGCGGATTTCTTGGATCGGCAATGGGGCCCCTGGCGGCGCCTCCTGCGCCGCCTCTGGCGCGCTCCTCGCGCCAGCAAGGGGAGGTTCAGCACAGATCCAAGAAATCCGCGCGGACCTCCACATGAGTTTTCCTAGCCCTCTCGTGTGCTGGGTCCTCGATTTAAATCTGCAGCGGCGCGGCTCCTCCTCCTCCTCCTCCTCCTTCTCCTCCTTCTCCTCCTCCTCCTCCTTCTCCTCCTTCTCCTCCTCCTCCTCCTGCTCCTCCTTCCTCCTCCATTCCTTTTCCTTATAAACAACTTCTCCCTGTCGCACCCCGAGGCCAGTTTTTAGGGCGGGCCGGGCTTTTCGCCTGAGACGCCCTCACCACTTGTGGCTCTGCAGCTTGAAAAAGTCAACAATTTCATAAATTGAGGGCTGGTCGTTTTCAAAATCTGGCTCTCACCTTAGCGCCGCGCACATTCATTTTCACAAATTCCACAAATTTCACGGACTGAGGGCGGGTCGTTTTCAAAATGTGGCTCTCGCCTTAGCGCCACGCACATTTGGTCTAACTAACTCCAAGAAACTCACGGACTGAGGGCGTGTCGTTTTCGAAATGTGGCTCTCGCCTTAGCGCCACGTACACTCGGCTTAAAAAATTGCAAGCGTTTCACGGTTCCCCGTGATCAACATACCAGAAACAGTGGTTTGGAAGGATTCAGGATTATGCGGGCGCAACTATTATGTGGATTCGCGGTGTTGAAATCCCGAAAACAGCGTTCTGGCACGATTGGAGATCGTCAGAACGCAGCAGTCAGGTTGATCCGTGGCGTGGAAATCTCGAGAATCATGTTTTGGAATGCTTCACGGTCTTCAAACGGTTGTCTTCCAACGAAGCAGTTCCCTCAATGAAAATGAACCGCTGTGCTGGGCCTATGAAAGGGGAGCTTGGAGGGAGGGTTAATTCCAACATCGTTGATGACTCTTGGGTTTACACGGGTCCTCCTCCTCCTCTTCCATCTCCTCCTCCTCCTCCAACTCCCTCCTCCTCCTCCTCCTCTCCTCTCCTCTTCTCCCTCCTCTCCTGCATCTCCTCTTCCTCCTCATTCTTGTCATCAGCCTCATCCTCCTCGTCATCAGCATCGTCGCCATCAGCACTATCGCCTTCGTACTCGTTACCGCGATCATTCACATCACCGTTTCGCCACACCCCTCAGACGTTTCGTTGCCCCAGAGGGGGACTCCACCGAAAGCCCCACTGGCAGGGTGCGCATGCGAACTCGGGTCCATTCCAGAACACCCCTCACACGCTTCGTGGCCCCATGAGGAGCTCCACCAGAAGCCCCAGTAGCAGGGTCCGCATGCGGACTCGGGTCCATTTTGGCACAACCCTCACACGCCTCGTAGCCCCATAGGGAGCTCCACCGAAACCCGTTGTGGCACGGTCCGCATTCGGCCTCGTGTCAATGATGGCACGCCCCTCACACGCCTCATGGCCCCACGAGGGAGTCCACCGAAGGACCCAGATGCAGGGTCCGCATGCGTATTCACGCGCATGTTGGCACACCCCTAACACGCTTCATGGCCCCAGAGGAAGTTCCAACGTAGGGCCCAATAGCAGGGTCCGAGTGAGGATTCGGGTCCATTTTGGTACACCCCTCACACACTTCATGGCCCCATTGGGAAATGTACCGAAGACCGGGTCGCAGGGTCCGCATGCGGACTCGGTTTTCTTTTGGCACAACCCCCACACGTTTCGTGGCCCCATATGGGAGCTCCACCGAAGGCTTCAATGGCATGGCTCACATGGCGCCCCCCTGCCCAAGTCGGGCAAATCCATTACTCATTTCGTGGCCCTCCTCTTGCAATGTGAATCGCGAGTGCGCGCGTGAATGGGGAACGCTGTGTATTGCTCGACGCTCTTCGGCTAAGCTTTCAGAAATACCGCAAATAGTTGTAGATATGATTATGTGCAGTGTGTCTGCTTTCTCCACCTGCTTAAAAAGAATCGGGTTCTTCGCCAGGGTAATGTGTAAGCAGCTTTCGCCCCTCGAATCTCAGCGCCCTCTGGCGGGGACTCCCAGACCTCCAACGCGTCAACATAAATTACCCTGTGACGTACCCAGACCATTTGCCTCAAAAGACAAGAAGAATCGGCCCAAACATGCCAGGGCCATGACAATGCAGGTGCCAGTATATGTTGCGCAGGCTGCATGGGATGCGCTCGCATGGAACGGCGCACAGGACAACAACAGAAAGAAGAGGAGCGAGGGCCCAGGAGGGAACGAGAGGCAGGAAAAGGACGCGCGGGGGCGCGAACCGTCAGCGCGGCAGCAGCACAGGGAAGGTGGCAGGGGGCAGAGGACGACGACGAAAGTGACGGGAGGAGACCGAAGAGCGTTGCTTTTGTCGGCGGCGCGCTCAAGATGCAGCGATGCCTGCGCCACGTCGCCGCGGCGCTGGAAAAATATAAAACCTGCGTTTAGTTAGTGGGAGAAGCAGAAGCGAGCGAGGCCTAGCTCGCCAGCTTCTGCGCTTCCTTCCTGCACTCTTCAGTGCGGGGGCTAAACGCTCGAAGGCGCGCCGCCAGGTCTGCGGGCGGCCCGCGGGCTACGAAATCCAGGCTGGGGTCGCGCATCACCAGGAGGTTATCCACGGCAATTGCCCTGGACAGCATCACGTATAGACGCAGCCAGAGGTCATCCATTTTCTAAGCATCGTTGCACCCGACGCCCGACGCCACTCCGCTGAACCCCCCAGCAGCGCTCCGAATTGGCAACAAGTTCGGAGATCGCAACCCCCCCGGGATGGTGAAGCTCCTGGTGGTCCACGTAAGACGTCACTCCGCTGGACCCCCCAGCAGCCCCCGAAACTGGCGACAGAATCGCAGATCGCAGCCCCCCAGGGATGGCGAGGTCTCATCTGAATATGGTCAAGACGTCACTCCGCTGGGCACCCCAGCAGCCCTCGAAACTGGCGACAGTTCCGCAGACCGCACCCCCCCCGAGGGATGGCAAGGTCTCACCTGAATCTGGGTAAGACGTCACTCCACTCGACCCCCCAACAGCTCTCGAAAGTGGCGCCAGTTTCGCAGATCGTAGCCCCACACGGATGGCGAAACATCATCTGGATCTGGGTAGCACGTCACTCCGCTGCACCCCCCAAGCAGCCGTCGAAAGCGGCGATAGTTTCGTAGATCGCAAGCACCCAGGGATGGCGAGGTTTGAATATGGGTAAGACGTCACCCCGCTGGACCCCCCAGCAGCCCCCGAAACTGGCGACAGGCTCGCAGATCGCAGCCCCCCAGGGATGGCGAGGTCTCATCTGAATTTGGGTAAGACGTCACCCCGCTGGCCCCCCAGCAGCCCTCAAAAGTGGCACCAGTTTCGCAGATCGTAGCCCCACAGGGATGGCGAGGTCTCATCTGAATCTGGGTAGGACGTCACCCCGCTGGACTGGGTAAGACGTCACTTCGCTGTACCCCCCAGGAGCCCTCCAAAGTGGCGACTGTCTCGCAGATCGCACCACCCAGGGATACGGAGGTCTCATCTGAATCTGGGTAGCACGCCACTCCGCTGCAACCCCCCAACAGCCCGCGGCGACAGTTTCGTAGATCGCAGCCCCCCAGGGAGTGCAGGGCCTCAATTAAAACTGGTTAGCACTTCACTCCGCTGGACCCCCAAGCAGCCCTCAAAAGTGGAGACGAATTCGCAGATCGCAGCCCCACACTGATGGCGAACTGTCATCTGAATCTTGGTAAGACGTCACTCCGCTACACCCCCAAAGCAGCCGTCGAAAGCGGCGATAGTTTCGTAGATCGCAAACCCCCAGGGATGGCGACGTGTCATCTGAATCTGGGTAGGACGTCACTCCGCTGGACCCCCCAGCAGCCCTCGAAAGCGGCGACAGTTTTGTAGATCGCAGCCCCCCAGGGATGGCCAGATAGGAAGCACGCTGGCACGCATGAAATAGCGAGGTGAGAGGCAGAAGAGAAGAGAGTAGGCGGAAGGCGGGAAGAGAAGACGCGCGGGCAGTGCTCCATTCGAACGAATTCCCAACGCAGGAGGGCAGGGAAATAGGGCGGGAATTGTGATCATTATTCGGCCTGAGGGGGCCCTCGTCAGGCCCTGCACCTTCAAATAAAAGCTTGAGCCGGCCCCAGGAAGAGAACCCGGACTTCTGGGGGCGACGCATTCAAACACCCACGTGAAAACTACAAGGTTTAGCTCCCCCTGACTTCACAAACCCTGTGTTTTAACATGGATTTCGGGGGTCTCTGGAATGAGAATTTCAGAAACCGTGTGATTTCGAATGGATTTTGGTGATTTGGGGGATTTCCTACCTCCGATCGAAAATCCACTTCGCAGCCCCCCAGGGCTCCGAATTCAAAAAATTAACGCGAAAGCACCAGGCGTGGCTCACCCTTACTTACAGACATACATACATACATACATACATACATACAGACAGACAGACAGACAGACAGACAGACAGACAGACATACAGACATACATACATACATACATACATTCATACAAACATATACACACACACCATGCCTGGCGTGTGGATTGTAGGCCTCTAGATGTTCGTTGGGATGTCGCGAGAGGCCTCTTGGGGGCCTCGTGGAGGCAGTTTGGGAGCCTCTTGGGGGCCTATTGGTGGCCTCTTCGGGCCT